CATCATATTGAACATTATAAAGTTGAACAACAAAAATGAACTTGATACAATTAAAAATGGCGACACAGTGACGATTTAAGGGATCATAAACGTTTTCAAATTGGCAGCCGAATTTGGTAATTTATTTTCAGTTTTTATAAAAAATGGTTCTGCATCTAGTTATTAATTTTTTTTCAGACGCGTGTTTGCTATTTAAATTGATCATTATTTGTTACATATAGCAAAAAACCTTTACATGACATCATAACGAGGTTGAACGTGATTTAAACCTCAGATGAATACATTCTTAAACAAAAGTAACACCAAGTATATGTCACAAATCTATCAAAGGGGATGTAGGGAAAAACGTGTTGTCAGATACATTTGTAAGTTTAATGGTGAAAATAAAAGATCGCTTCATAAAAAATCTTTTGTTTCCATATACATGTATGTAGTAAAGTGGCCACATCATCCATGTATAACGTATTTTTTTTCAATTCCGTTACGTGTTAACCGTTTGAAAATTTAATTAGGAATGTTGTAATTTTTGTATTTAATGCAAGTTAAGCATTTAATGCAAGTTAAATGCATTTAATGCAAGTTAATGCAAGTTAACTCGTAGAGTTAAATATTTTATATGTGTTATTTTTTTTAAATAAATATTTTTTCTTTGGTGAGGAATAACTTAAAAAAGATCAGGGAATATTCACAACAGATACATGTTGTTTTATGCGCAGGTGCTGTTGAAAAATACTGCGATTAAGTAAACATTAACTTCGAAATACAAATGCATGGTTTAAATTACGTTGTAACGGTGCTTACGAAAAAACCCACCAGGAAAATAACTTGAAAGTGGATATGTCTATCAGCCGTGCAGTAACGACCCTTAAACCCGCCTCTTCAATAATTGTAGGCCATTGAGTAGTACAAATATCTTTAACTGAACTACCCAAAGCGTGATCATTGTATATGTTTGTTATGAGGTACCCGGTTGTCATATCGATCAGACTGTTGTTCGAGCTTTGTGAAACATATGATAATTGGGTACAGCATATCTTAATTAGATCTTGATACAACCGTCGAGCGCGAGCAGGACAACATTATGTTTTGTACAGGTGTATGTTTTGTACAGGTTTCTGGTCAGATTCTTTATTTGTATTGTAAACTATGTACCCAGTTTAAACACAGCAAACTGTATTGATCTGTTTGTGTCCTCCAAGTTCTCTTCTATCAGTAAAATACAATTAACGTTGCCTCCATAATCATCAATCATTGCTTGTATCCGGTTACTGAGTGCCTTTATCAATCAAACGTATCTCATAGATTTTATACATAAAATGTCCGTTGTAAAGAATACAAGTGAAAACAGATACATAAACTACATTGCATACTACAAATAAGTACGAGGGCCGTTCAAAAAGTATTGTCCTCGATACCGTAGAAACAAATGCGTTCAGGCGTCACTCGCAATCCATTCACAGGTAGGTGAATTTATACACAACGAGTGACAACAGACCCGAGAATATTTGGTGCAGTATTAACTGTTTGAGGTACGTTTTACCACCGTACAATCGATACACTCTATATACAATGACAGGCAAAATCGTAAAAAGGTGACTGAAATGAGAAGCTTTATAAAAGCGTGTGCAAAACTCGAAAAATCACCAAAGGAGACTTTTCATGAAATGTGTGAAGTTTATGGAGACTCTTACCTATCATATTGATCGATTTCCCGATGGTTATCAAAATTTCGCAAAGGGTTAGTAGATATCAGCGACCACGTTCGTTCTGGAAGGCCAACATCATCTAACTTAACAAACATATCCAAGATGAACACATTAGTAACCGAGGACGGTACATGTAGATTGACAGTAAAACAAATAGCAAGAAGTGTAGGCATTTCAACGGGGTCCGTTCTTTCCATTCTGAAAAAAAATTGGGATATAGGAAGATTTCTGCTAGATGGATACCGCATTCATTGACACAAGAACACAAAAGTGTACGTGTTTCAATGGCAAAAACATTGTTGAAAACGTATCAGCATTGCATTCAGCGTCGACTTGCCGAAATTGTAACAGGTGATGAGACATGGGTTCACTATTTTGAACCCCCCAAAAAATTAATAATAAAGTATGGCGTACCCGAAATGGAAAGAGAGCCGTAATTGCAAAGCGTTGCCAAAGTACGAAGAAGGTTCTCTATGCTGTGTTCTTCAATTCGAATGGTGTTGTTGCCCAGATAGCTATCCCAAAAGGCAGGAGTTTAACGGGCAGTGTATAAAGACATTGTATTGAAGAAAGTGAAGAAATTCTATCAGAAAAAGAGACCAAGAACAGGGATACGTGGTATTCGTTCGCTACATGACTATGCTCCAGCACACAAAACGAAGTTGGTCAAGGAGATTTTGGAGAAACACACAGTTGTTGTGTTACTGCATGACCCTATTCCCCAGATCTATCCCCTTGTGACGGCATCTGCCTGGACGTCACTACAGGTCTCGTGCGTCAGTTGGAGCTGCAATATTCCAGTATCTGAAGAGTATACCGCACAAAGACCACCAGAAAGCATTCAGACATTGGATCCGAAGGCTAAAACGCTGTGTTGTTGTAAAAGGTGAATGCTTCGAAGGAATAGAATAAACAAATTAAATTGTTGTACTTCGTTTGTCATTTATATAATCTAGGACAATACTTTTTGAATGGCCCTCGTACTTAATATATCAAATATATTGATGCGCCATCTGTATCTTGAGCTACTGTTCAAATGAATAACATTGCATTCTGATTAAACCATAGGATTCTATTTCTAATTCCATTTCAGGAGCCAGGTAGATTTTGTTGATTAAATGTTAATTCACAACAAACGTTAAACTGCTCAACCTTTTAACGTAATTACAACTATCAATAGTTCCCTTAACATATTGATTTAGTGTAGGCCGATGATTTGGTCTGAATAAGGTGTGGTCATGGATCTACTGATAAGAGGCATGGTACATTGGTCCTACTTAACTGGGTGGAGGATACGTCATTGGTCCTTCTTGACTGGGTTGAGGGTAGGTCTTTCATCCTTCTTAACGGGTGGAGGATAGGTCTTTGGTCCAACTTAACTGGGTGGAGGGTAGGTCATTGATCCTTCTTAACGGGTGGAGGATAGGTCTTTGGTCCTACTTAACTGGGTGGAGGGTAGGTCATTGATCCTTCTTACAACAGGTGGAGGATAGGTCTTTGATCCTATTTAACTGGGTGGAGGATAGGTCATTGATCCTTCTTAACGGGTGGAGGATAGGTCATTGGTCCTACTTAACTGTGTGGAGGGTAGGTCATTGATCCTTCTTAACGAGGGATGATAGGTCATTGGTCCTACTCAACTGGGTGGAGGATAGGTAATTGATCCTCCTTAACGTGTAGAGGGTAGGTATTTGATCCTTCTTAACGGGTGGGGGGTAGGTCATTGATCCTTCTTAACGGGTGGAGGGTAGGTCATTGATCCTTCTTAACGGGTGGAGGATAGGTCATTGATCCTACTTAACTGGGTGGAGGAAAGGTCATTGATCCTATTTAAGTGAATTAAGTGAAGGCAATGGGTCCTACTTAACTGGGTGGAGGGTAGGTCATCGGTCCTAATTAACTGGGTAGAGGATATGACATTGGTCCTAATCCACTTCGTGGAGGGTAGGCAATGGGTCATACTGAACTGGATGGAGGGTAGGTAAGATGTAATGATTTGCCAAAGTCATTTTAAAACAATATAAGCTGAATTTTAACTAATAAAACAATGACGTTTGAGCTGTTTTTCCTGTGCACAAGTTCAGTGATTCCTTTTTTCTGAGATACAACAGAACTTTTTGATTATGCATAGAATGAGTATCTGGGAGGGAATCTAAATCAACAGATACGTGAACGTAATCACAAATATAACAGGTGTGTTCATATATATACAGGGCTCCATCGGGCTAATTTTATACTGTATCAAAGCAAATATTTAACAACTATATGTATGTTTTCATTAATGAAATATTTCATCAACATGAGCTGGCACACAGTTTTTTAAATGCTATACTTAGTCATCGCCGTTGTGCTCTAGCACACGCTGTTGGCACGACTAACCGTTTAGCTTAAACAAAAATAAGATAGAAAATGTTGCTGATCTTTTTTTTGTTACATAATAAGGTAGGACAATGATTAACAAGACAATTAAATAATTATAAGATTGTAAAACTGTCGTTGATGTAAAAGTGTTCAAACGATGTGTTTTGAGAGGCATAATTATATTTCTATGAATCTCGCTGCTGTGGGATATATATAGGATCTTATATGAATTTTCATTTCATATGAAATTTATAAAACGAGTCTGAGCAATTTTCAATTTAGCGAGTGACGAGTTTCATCAATTTCATATGTAATGAAAACGAGTATAAGATCCTTTTCATCACATTATCAAGATGGGTGGCATTTATTCGTGTAAAACGACAATTTTCATGCAACCTTGAAATGTAAAAACCGCCATTTTGACTCCAGTGCGTAAGTCTGTGACGTCATGTACTTGTCCTTGGCATGACGTCACCATTGAAACAATTGAAACTTACAACCAATCACAGGGCTGATAGGTCATATTACATGGGCTAATACGCAAAACATATATGACATGGGTAACAGAGTACATCATGTAATAAAAGACATTTGAGTAGCTTGATATAGACACCCCGAGTTCTATTATTTAATATTCATATTTATCACTTCCCGTTTAAAAACTGAATCATAATTAAGATTCTTCAACTAAAAGGTGTATATATACGTTTCAACGTCGTCATCTTTTAATATACAGATGACGCCTCTTTTTTATACACACTTCTAACTTTTAACGCTTAAAACGACTTTTTTACATAAAAATTGTTCCCGGAATGAGTAAATTAAACCTTTCGTACGCGCAGTTTTTAAAACTGTAAACGCTGTTAAATCAAATATATAAATACTAAATGGTGTAACAACACCGATAAGTCGTTTGTCTTGATTTCTCTACAGACCGGATGTACTCATCTGACTGGATGTTGATGGCAAGATTCGGAAGTGGAAATGGTGAGGCGACATACGACACGTGGTTGGAGAACGGACGGGATGACAACAAGAATACGCTAACTCCGAACGAATGTAAAGACACTAATACTTCAAGTGTATGTACACGTCACTTCCGGAGTGGACTTATTGACGATTGGATTACGCTTAACCCTACAGAGGTAAATTGAAATAAAACCAGAATTTTGTTACGTAAAATGTATTTTTTGTAAGCGTTTAGTGTTAAGCAATACAGTAGTAAAAATTAATCCTCACAGGTTTATCACTTGTTGAACTAAACCCGCTTTCTCCACTCGTAGCCACCAGACCAGATCAAACGTAGTAAACGCAAGGCTTCAGACAAATTGTGATACTGATTCAATATTTGATAATTTTAGAGAATCTCAAAAAAAAAAAGAAAATGGAATCTTCGTCGTTATTAAAATGTATCTACTTCAACGCTGTTCTATTCTTCGTTTTCCTGAATTCAAATCACGTTCGAAGAAATAAATTATAAATTGTTTTTTTTGTAGTTAATATACATTCCCCTTTCTACTGTAAATGCTCTGTAAGACTTTATTTGGTTTTTCCAGAGTTTATTTTTGATTTTTGTATGCGGTATAAGTTTTGGAACACTTTAAGCTCAGATGTTCATTGCTTTGGTCATTAGTACCATTCCATTGCGGAGTTCTTAACTAACGAAATGGCCGCTGAGAGCAGTAAACAGGTTTTTGTTACCTATTTATCTTTCTGCTTAGATTTGATACATTTTAAATACATGTAGCTGCCTTCTTACTTCATCTTCTTGGTGATTATTTGAAGACGAGTTCTGATTGTGGTCAACAGTTTCCACGTGTTGATCGGAATATTTCAGAACAAATCCTGACTTTGCAGTAAGACTTTGCAGGCTGCTTCCAAAGATGACTCTTCCCATCTAACATCTGCTTACAGTAGAGTTGTGTCCCTGCATGAGGACAACTTTTCCTTATGTGATATAAAAGCGGACATACAGTGCATAACTCTCTAATTTAATCTATACTTATGACGTCGCAGGGACCATATACATGTGGTACCTCGCAGTATTTTTTCTAGTATCACAGAAGATCGTAAACCTTCATGTATTCAGCAAACCATGTTCATTCAACTGAATTTCCAACCAAAGAAACAAAGAGAACAGTTAGTTACTGTACAGTTGTACCAGGTAGCTTAATAATTGATCTGGATCTCACAATAGACACTAACAAATAATAGCTGACATATTGGAGATGTCAGTCAACCTTATGTATAATGGTGGTTATGATTAATTAAGTACATCTGTTATAAAGCATGACGTAGGGTTTATTGATCATCGTTTATCGACCAATTGGCGACTGAAGTGAACAAATATTCCCAAATGAATCTAGGTTAAATAAACAAAATAGGCATCAAGTGACGAATGTTTGCTCGCGCAAAAGAACAGCCTATTTTAAATAATTAGATTATCTAAGTCAGCATGCTTATATGCTTTGATAGGTCTGTAGAAACCAAGGCAGACGGGAAATAAACTTAGGTTTTATTAGGTAGAATAGATATAATCAACACGTGTTTGTATATCATGTTGGCAAATATAACTCAAGATTTAAATGTGTTGGAAAAATAATCAACTCATGCCGCAAACGCCCTTTGTTCATTGTTTTTTCCCGTATTTTCTCGTCCTCCTTATATATTCCACCATAATACACGCACACAGTTTGGTTATTTCTTAATAAAACAAACCATACCATACAGTTGAAAGTGTTCATTTTGAGAATAGATAAAGATCCGTATTTAGAAATTTACCAACCACATGCAAAAGTCATCTCTTCTGTACTATGAAATGTAAAATAAACACATGTTTACCTACACATGTTACTTTTTCTATTTTTTAAAAACATTTTTCTGTACTCTTTCAACTATTTGATACACCGGTCAAATAAAATATTTGAATGTGCAGCTTAAATTCCATTTTTTTGTATAATGATATAATATTGAGTAATACATAACTAATTATCATGTGCGTGTATATCTGATTTAAGATTCTGATTCTGAATTTCATAATGTATATATAAAAAGTATGAAGATGAAGCATGCAAATCAGTTTGGTACCGTCTATGCTTATTTTTTCTTTTCATTTAAAAATGTTACGTCATTCTGAGCAGTGTTTACGTGTCATAGTAGGGACTCTCGTAATTTATCCAACATAATCTGGTGTGCATGCGTATCAAAGGGAGCCTGTGTAGGCCCATTTTGAAACATGACAGGGGACTTTTCGTATCCTTAGTCCCAATTTGGGTATTGGAAAGGGCAGTGGGGAATAAGGTACTGCAGCAGAAAGTAAAAAAAAAAGTTAAAGCCTTCGAATAAACGCGTTGTGGTGAAAACGACAGATTAAAATAGTCAAAATAAATGCACGTTATGGATAAAGTCGAAATCTGTCCAATAAAGGAATGAAAGGACAGCTTTTGCAGTCCGTTAGAGCCGAGACCTGCATGTCAACACATTCAAATATTGTTATTTTACCGAAATATTGTCTATATTGTAACATCATCTCGGAGCATAGCCTAAAGTCGGTCCGACTTGGACACAAAAAAGCCACGATATATCGTCTTGCAAAAATTAAAATAACATGTAAATACATCATTTAAAAGATCGCATGCTCAGTTTTTCATTTAAAGTCCTTTGTTTGGAAACTATAACGCATAGATTATTTATATTTCAAATCGCGCTTGGGCCCAGGGCTATCGTATTCGAACCCCAATCATCTCAGACTCATTTCACGGCTTATTAAAACGACTGTATTTTCAACAAATGGCAAATAAATTGACAATATATATGGTTTACCTGACGAATTGTTTAGTAAAGATTGTATGTGTCTCCAACACTTTGAATGATTGTGACAAATCAATATTATAAAGATATGTTCTTGTCATTATAAGTGTTAGCAAAGCCTGCCATTTTATTGCAAACAGTTTCGTTCCGGAGCTTGAGTTCGAACTTAAGTCTGCTTTTGGGCAGTCTCGGCTTTTTGGCCTCAGCTTGAGACGCCGAGCTAAGTTTTAGTTGGTAATAACGAAACACGTACGCTGAGCTTGGGTTCTTGAGTTTGGACTCAAATCTGAGCTTGAGGCGGCCTCAAGTACGTTTGTGATACCGAAGCCTGGTCTTTTGCTCACTTATTGGAGAGAATGAGGATAATGTCTTACTTAAAACAGTCCCCTCTGGGTGCCTCTAAGGCTGATTCATGTAAAAAAAATCCCCATTGGTGTGTATTACCCCATTTAACTTATTGGATTGTATAAGGCCCACCTATTGTCACGCTCATGCAAACCTCATGTAAACCTCATGCATGGTTTTGGTGTCTGTGGAGTTCTGTGTTCATATGGAACAAAGTCTTCTGACACTGAGGACGTATATTAATAACTCAGTTAAACTTTATGGATTCGCTTTAAAAACGTTTTTTTATTGATGGCGTCTTGAGTGACATTTTTGAAATTGAAGAGAAAATTAGAGGCCAACTTTTACATTTAAAAGCCATATTTTTAAGACCTATCTAGAAAGGAGATAGAGAACAATTACAAAAGAAGTAGACATAACAGAGATTGAATTACTTCCTTTTGGCTCCTCATGTCTATTCTCTAGAATGTGATGTCACAATTTTCCAATAAGTAAAGCACTTATAAGACAGGTGGGTACCTTATTGGACATTTGGTAAAGCTTATTGGACAGTTCATGCAGCTTATGGAACGCTTGTTACATCATAGAAATGTTTAGATATAGGTTGTGATGCCCTCCTCTCGCCAATGATATTAATGAAGGAGATATTAAACATATAATATTGGCTGATGTTTTGTTTAGGTTTTGGGCAACAATCTGAAAGACATTTTGGACCAGCCTTTATGACAGGAGTTTATGGGTTCTGTATGTTTACAGGGTACAGGAAACATGTTCCTTGCCTTGGTACCTTATTTCGCGTCCATTTTTGTTTTGTTTTTGTCTTGGTTTTGCTTTATTGTCGTTTTGTTTCTTTTGGTCACTGTATGTTTTAATCTTAATGCTTGGGCATGTATTTTATGTATTTTTCTGTGTTGATTTAAAACTGTTCCTACATCAAAATCAAGTTCTACTGAATTGCTGCTGCGAATATTCTTCGTATGAGCGTATCCACAATTAGCTTGTTCAAACCATATTTTGTTATATTTTCTTATTTATTTTCAGGCAAAGTTTTCGCTCTATAGAGCTGGTATTGAGGTAGTCTATGCTACATTTAATGCTTCGGATACAGACTCAACATCGTGGTTTGCAAAGGAAAGGCTTCTTTCTACTTCTTTTACTGATTTAAACAGAACTTCCACGTCCAATTACTTCTCTGTGTTCGGTTCTGGGTAAGCATTGAAGTTTTAAACAACATTTACTCTTTTTCTTGACTTGCATGCTTATTTTTAAATGCTCTGAATACATTTACCGAACGACTTTATAGGATGGTAAATTTGTATGTGAACTTGTTTGACGGCATCTGCCTTACATATAGAAATTAATTCTCGACATCTATGAAGTTTTTGATGATGACGTCTGTAAAGCATTTCATATGATGTGTCAATGTTGTTTTGCAGTGAAAGCCGCAGATTCTATATCAACAGGAGTTACGGTGGTTGTATTAACGACCATGGATGGGTTCAAACTATTGATAGAAAGGGACCATGTTTCTATGACGATGCTGTTGCCTTTCCTAAATTTATATACTCACCGAATAACTTAACTGGCTGGACTGGAACAGGTTCGTAACGTACATATTGTTTCTCTGTGCCTATTTGTGATAAAGCATCAATTTTACATTTAAGGAATGATTTTTATTTTTTCAATATTTATGAGGTCATAACAACAATTGGTTTTTGGACATATTTTACATGAATCGATAACGCGATTCATTCAATATGTCCATAAACCCATTGTGGTTATGACCTCATAAATGTTGCAAAAATAAATATCATTCCTTATATTTACATTGACGAATCATTTCAGTGGATCGATATAACAACGAATTAAACAAATAAACAGGGTTTGTTCCTGCTTATACACGGGTGCAACGCAGTGGCGAGAACAGTGTTTTTTCGCGGGGAAATGTGACAGTATCGTGAGAGATCTTAGCAACCGTCAACAACAATAACACAACAAAATGTAGTTCCATATTCAATGTTTATTTGTAGCACAGGACACGTGAATACGTGGATATTTCACAAAGCACAGTTCAATAATATTTTAAGATGTAAGAATTAAGCATCTAGTTCGGTCGTTCCAAGTGAGTAGTTTTTGTAGTGTATTACTACGCAGTGTGATCAGGTTACTATCAGTTCCCACGTGCTGAGATTCTATGAACACCTGTGTTATGCATTTATGAATGTAATTTTTGTCAATGGGTCTAAGCATACAGAATGTAAATATTCACAAATGAACTGTCTGTTTTTAAATACCATAGAAATGCTAAGAAAGTGTCATTCGTTAAGTCCCGCGTTATATTTATTCACTTTATAATTCTTACATTACACAAACAGACACCCAAACACACATCGCCTACCCCCTCTAATGCAACCTCTCACATCCATACTGACTGAGGTATTAATTCATCCCCTAACTCTACTACACATACAAATCCCTCCCTCCCTCACTACATACGCACTCACTCACACAACAAAAACATTTCTCACATACAAAACTTTCCTTCCTTCACTACCTACACACTCGCCCACACCCCAAAAACACTCTCACATACAAAAACATCCCCCCTTCACTACCTACACACTCGCCCACACACCAAAAACTCTCTCACATACAAAAACATCCCTCCTTCACTACCTACACACTCGCCCACACACGAAAAACACTTTCACATACAAAAACATCCCACCTTCACTACCTACACACTCGCCCACACACGAAAAACACTTTCACATACAAAACTATCCCTCTTTCACTACCTACACACTCGCCCACACACCAAAAACACTCTCACATACAAAACTTTCCCTCCTTCACTACCTACACACTCGCCCACACACCAAAAACACTCTCTCATACAAAATTATCCTTTCCTCACTACCTTCACACTCGTCCACACACCAAAGTAATATTGCATATACAATCCTCCCCCTTTCACTCATAGCTTGTCTATAAGCATTTAAAAAAAAGTTTTTTTTTGTTGCATGTTTACTAAACCATAATAGCCAACCGTTATAGATGCGTAACGTTATAAAGGCCTTGAAAGACACCTTCCCTATTGCAAGGATTTACAATATTTTGGCCTCAATTACTGATGACTCTTAAATGGACGAAATAACCAAAATTTGCAGTTAATAATTTCTCTGTTGTCGGACATTCTGTTCTTTATAAAGACTGGTATTCTAAAGATGTAAGAGTAGTAAATGACATGTTTAAAGATGTTAGCTCTCTCACCTTCTTCTCTTATCGGGAATTCACAAGGAAATATAATATATATTCACAGATTTTCTATAATTTCAAGGTATTATTCATACTATAAGAACTAATATTGAAAAACACAGGATTCAGAATACAGAACTTCTTCTCCCTTTTATTCCGCTAAACATAGAATGATTTATCAAAAACACTAAAGGAGCAAGACATATACAAAATTCTCTCAATGAACAAAGAAATTCCAACAGGTAGGAAAAAATGGACAGAACATTTTGATTTTGATGAATCTGCTTGGGAGAATATTTTCTCTTTACCTTTCAAAATGACAAATAATTCAAAACTTCAGTGGTTTCAATTTAGAATTCTTCATAATATTTTGACAACAAATTCATATTTATTTAAGGCAAACCTAGTTACAAGCCCTTTGTGTACACTCTGCAACTCAGAGAGAGACACACTTACTCATATACTGTGGGAATGTCAAGAAGTTAAAAATTATCTACAGAGTCTGGAAATATTTTTAGATACAATTTTAATTCCATTCACAGTCAACAAAAACTCATATATTTTTGGAACATGGTCACATGAAAATGAGTATAGTAACATTGATAATGAGATTAACATTATTATAAAACACTTCATTTACAAAACTAGATGTGTAACTCTCTCAATTTAAGTGCACTGGTTAACTCAATTAAAGATCACTTTAATATTAAAAAAAAATTGCAACAAGTAAGGGAGAACATTTTCAAGAAGATTTTAACAAGGAATGGAGAAAATAGAAAAATATTGTTCTTTTTGGAGTTTAGCTATAGTATGAGGTCCTTAATAGATAGAGTAGGAATTTTCAACTGGATCTTGACAGTCTGATGAAAATATAATATTAAATATAGTCTTATGATATGTTATACAAGAAGGAATTCCTTAAACGTCAAAACCTCATGTATCTACCTCTCAGTTTACTAGAAGTCAAAAATCTCTCCCTCATGCAAATGTGTATGTGTGTGAGCAGGTATGATTGAAAATACAGTGTTATGCTTGTGGTCTTTGTTGATGATAATGAATCGATGATGGTGATGACGATGATTGTAATATAAATAATGGGGTCATGATTATGATGTAATTGTCATGTTTTGATGAGAATAATTATGGACAATGAGGTCATGATGACTTTTATATTAATGAGGCTGCAATGATGATGATAAGGATGATTATGACGACTTAGTGTAAATATGATAATAAAGATGGTGATGAGGATAATAATAATGATGATTAATATTATGGCATGCTAATGATAGATGTGAAGAGTGTCATTATGACATGAGTATGATGACCGAGTTTTAAGTAATGATTATTAACATGATGATGACCTATTATTAGTGNTATGTGTGCCCCGTGCAGCGTTAACCATTTGTATAAAAATGTTACACTATGTACCCCGTCATATCTGTTGATTTTAATGGGACGTGAAAAAAACCCAAAGAGCATTAAATTGTCTTAAATGTAAACATGTGTACCTTCCATTCTGATATATTCCTAATTATGTGATTTCTCTAGTACACTTAATGATATCTTCAATTCTATTAAAGAGATGTCCCATTACATCATATGTATATTACCAGGAAGGAAGTAAAATGTTGCCCAACAGTATTCACCATTGGTTCGATGTTTTTTTATTTCCCTGATGTCATAAATATATTCCCAAATTAAACACGCGGTTTTCGAATGGGGTATAGTAATATAATGCAAGTTAAAAAAATAATATCGTTGTCACGATGGATACGAAAGCATAATATTTCATACATAATTTAAACTGACATTCCGTGTGCAATGTCATTTAATATCATAATTAACCCAAGTAGTGCCAGTTATGCAATGTTGATATCTATATACGGTGTCAACTGAAACGTTGTTAAAATGATAATAAATATAATATGTTGACATGAACTTCACATCTGTCGCTGAATCTGAAATGTATCAGCTGTCCTACTAAATTACAAATGATTAATGAGAATGGCTTTTTGAAAATCATAATGTGATTTAAAAGAAGAATGATCAAACTTAGAAAAGGATAAAAATAATAAACGAATTTGTTTTTAGCTCATCAAGTGAACCTCTGCCGCCGTCCGTCCGTCTATCGTTTGCCAACGTTTTCCTTTTAAAAACGTTTCTAGTCCTTAATGGCCAAGTGGATTTTGACCAAATATGGTCTAGAGAATCCTTTGACAAAGGGCTCTCAATTTTGTAAAAATGGCGGGAATGCCTCTCTGGGGGCAGAAGGGTGGGGCCAAATAGTGGAAAAGATGTTAATCTTCACAAATCTTAAAATTATAAACCAAAACAGGGATTTTGACCAAATTTGTTCGCCTTGAAAAGAAAAAAAAGATAAATCTTTCCAGCAAATTCGACTGAATTATCTAAGAGTAAGAGATGGTGAGATATTCATTTCTCCTTAAACATTGAAGAGCGAGACAACAGGGTTAGTAGTACCACGGACTTAGATCTAATCTAATTCCGTGGTAGTACATATAGTTGGGATAATAAATCATTACTTATAAATATGATATACTAAAAGGAAAACATATAAACAGATATCTCCTTTGAAAAAACCAATAAACTGCTATCCATATACCATATAATGCATATTTAAAAAGAAAAGATTGCTCCGAAAATTTGATAACATCGCATTGTCTATATATCACTGTAAGAACTACTTCCTTACCCCATATACTGTACTAAAAAGATATATGGAAATGGAAACCTTTTGTTTGGGTCAGTTAACGTTAAATTTTAACATTTCCTCCATCATCAACAACATATATTGATACTATTTGAACGTAAGCTAGATTACTGTTTGTTACTTATAAGTTTGTTTTGACATGTTCTAGGGAGAATATATTAGAAAAAAGTCAATAGCGTCAACGTGCCAGGTTTTGGTGGTGGAGAAAAGCCGGAGTTCCCGGAGAAAAGCCACCGACCTACGGCCAGTGCAAGTAACTGGTGACTGCCCCACGCTGCGGTGGCCAAGTTATTAAGGCGTTTGACATTCTGCTACCACTAGCCCTCTATACCACTGGGTCGCGGGTTCGAGACCTACAATGTACCTGGGGCTCTCTCCAGGCACTGGCCGTTGGTCGTTGTTTTTTTCTCCTGGAACCCCGGCTTTCCTCCACCACCAAAACCTGTCACCTGTTTATAATTTACGAGGAAGGGGAATCCATATTTTGATTTTGTGAGAAAATATGAACGTGAATGATAATTTTCTAATTAATACCTTGTCATTGCCTTATTCTTATATCTTGCAAGGAAAGCTTTAAAAGTAAACAGTTTATGAAGATATATATGTGGATATAATTACATAGCAACACGAAAAGTTAGTTCACAAATAAAGAATTTTTCAAGACCAAAAAAAAATCAAAAAAAAAAAAATCTTTGTTTTGCTTTCTGCATTAACTTATTCAATTTTTAATCAGTTGCATCACTTACTACGTACATCAAGTGATTATTGATTACCACAGTGTTTTAATGTTTTGGTAAATACATATTTTTATAATTATTTACAGATTCCCTTGTCGCAGATGTGCTCGCGATCTTCGTGAAGATGTAGACCGTTAAACCGTTACTGATTCATATAGCTCACAAGGGGAACACAAAGTTCTAGTCCTAAAGACACAAAACTCCTACTTTGTGAGATATAGACTGTTACCTACCGACATCACCAGCTGTGTGAGATATAAACCGTGCCCTCCTGACATCACCAACTGTGTGAGATATAGACCGTGCCCTACTGTCATCATCAAGTGTGTGAGATATAGACCGTGCCCTACTGTCATCACCAACTGTGTGAGATATAGACCGTGTCCTCCTGACATCATCAACTGTGTGAGATATAGGCCGTGCCCTACTGACGTCACCAACTGTTTGAGATACAGACCGTGTCCTTCTGACATCATCAACTGTGTGAGATATAGACCGTGTCCTCCTGACATCATCAACTGTGTGAGATATAGACCATGCCCTACTGACATCGCCAACTGTGTGAGTTACAGACCGTGCCCTACTGACATCGCCAACTGAGTGAGATATAGACCGTGCCCTACTGACATCGCCAACTGAGTGAGATATAGACCGTGCCCTACTGACATCATCAACTGTGTGAGATACAGACCGTGTCCTACTGACATCACCAACTGTTTGAGATATAGACCGTGTCCTTCTGACATCATCAACTGTGTGAGATATAGACCGTTTCCTACTGTCACCATCAACTGTGTGAGATACAGACCGTGTCCTACGGACATCACCAACTGTTTGAGATATAGACCGTGTCCTTCTGACATCATCAACTGTGTGAGATACAGACCGTGTCCTACTGACATCGCCAACTGTGTGAGATACAGACAGTGTCCTACTGTCATCCTCAACTGTGTGAGATACAGACCGTGTTCTACTGACATCACCAACTGTGTGAGATACAGACCGTGCCCTACTGACATCACCAACTGTGTGAGATACAGGCCGTGCCCTACTGACATCACCAAGTGTGTGAGATATATATGTTTGTTGATAGAATATGAACTAAATTGAGTTTAGTTTTAGTCTAAGTTTGCTGCGAGTATCAGCCTGGAGGATTATGTTGTTTCTCCAAACCGTACTCCGTGATGCTGTTCCATGTAATAACGTCAGCCCATCCATCAATTTGTTGAATCCACCTCGCATGTATTCATTGCTTTCTGATTTCGTCGCGGTTGTGTTGATAAGTTCGAAGTTGTCGGGTGCCGGCCGCTAACGCTGTTTTAATACTAGTTAGCGTAATAGCAGCGCGTTTATTGATCAATTTCATGTTATAATGAGTTTTGTAGATATTACTGAAAATGTTTCTAGATACTGACACATTTTTTATCATTTATAATATATTCAACTCTTACGGCGGAAATGGCCATTTCCCCTGCACATGCGTGCTTGCAGCTTTCATGAGACTTGTAGCTCTCGCGTATATATGAGACGTAAAGTTAACTCTGCAATGAAATCATTGTCTTTCAGTGCATTCGTGAGCTGTCGAATCCTCTGTGACATTTTATTGATCAGGTACGTGTAGGATAGCCTAAAAACTGATTTACTCGTTCTAATGCAGCTCAACGTTGAAGAGACTGTGTTCCTGTACACATGTGAAGTTGCATTTCAAGTGTTTAAATGGCCTTTGCTTTCCTCGATGCGCTTCTATGTTTCCTTGTCCTTCTGATGTGAATGGTACCATATATTTTTTGTTTCTTGGTGATTCTATTTGTCCCTTTAAGGTGCTTCCATCATACCCAGACAGACTTCGTATCTAGCTGTTCTGAGAAGCATTACTTGTACAATGTAATATGTTATCAACCCATCACGCTGCCCTTGTTGTTTTATTATTGAAGAATCGGAATGAGATACATCAGCTTGGTATGAATAACAAATGCTAAGTTTGCTTTTAACACAAACAGGAATTGAACACTTATTTTGCGAGCTTTCGAAATCGTCTGTTTCCTTTGTCAAGCAAACAGTGCAAAAACGCTTAATGAATGAGATAACCTGATAGTATAGTAGACTATTTTCCCATCCTTACTGGAATATGCAAATGCGAAATGTATTTGCGTTAAAAATGCAATCAATGTGTCATCCTTGCATATAGATTATATATTATTTAATCACTTTTATCTCCATCTATTCCCTATACTACATCGATAATGATGACAATGAATAACGCAAAGGAGGTGAAGCATATCGTTCTATTATATAATACATGTTATTTCCTTGGAGTATTGCCGTTCAATAAAAACGATATAGCACACGTACAATAAACATGCAATAGTCACCATGGGAAACAGGTCAGATTCCTACGCACTACAACTTCTACGTTTGTAAACAAAATGGCTGACCGAGTTACTGTTTCGCTCAGTTTCGCTCAGATGACATCGTTGGAAGCTACATGTAACTAGTAGCTTGTGGTGATGTATGATATTCTTTTCTTCTAATGTATACTGTACACACGCGCATGCATTGCTAGCAGAGGCGGAGGCACTGTTAAAGAATAAAATTAATAAACTAGTTTAATAAATTCAATATTATATGAATGCGAGTGTTAGCTTCACACAAATTCAACACCTGCATGTTTAAATTCCACTTGAATTTCTCCGACATCAATTGCAAACACGTGTAACCGGTCAACTTCATCGGTGTTCCAGTTTCATGGCGGATTCCACAGTTTATATTCTGGCTCAGTGATAGACGGAAACATCGAGGTTCACACACACCAACAACCCTCTCCAAAGAAATGCGCCCGTGTTTAAGGGAATGACAATCACGTTAGTCCCTGTAAACTTTTAAAAGTACAGACTTCGATGTGTATTGTGATGACCTTTACCTTGACAGAGCACGCGCCGTTGTGCAAAATATGTGACGTCGCTGCTATTTTCGTAAAAACGCCAATCCGTTGAATGGTTTTCGAATAAAAAAAAAGGATATTAATGTTGTTCGTCAGTCATCGGTATATAGATATAGAGGAGACGTGTCAAGAACAAATGCATAATAGTGTGTTTCTTGAATTATATAATAAATGGGATCTATTTGAGGGATTGTGTGGCATGTCTGTTACTGAGCTTGTGTTGTGGTATTTGTTATTTGAGGGATTGTGTAGCATGTCTGTGACTGAGCTTGTGTTGTGGTATTTGCTATTTGAGGGATTGTGTAACATGTCTGACTGAGCTCGTGTTGTGGAATTTGTTATTTGAGGGATTGTGTAGCATGTCTGTTACTGAGCTTGTGTTGTTGTATTTGTTATTTGAAGGTCTGTAACTGAGCTTGTGTTGTTGTATTTGTTATTTGAAGGTCTGTAACTGAGCTTGTGTTGTGTTATTTGTTATTTGAGGGATTTTGTAGTATGTCTGTGACTGAGCTTGTTTTGTGGTATTTGCTATTTGAGGGATGTGTAGCATGTCTGTTACTGTGCTTGTGTTGTGGTATTTTTTTTTTGAGGGATTGTGTAGTATGTCTGTGACTGAGCTTGTGTTGTGGAATTTGTTATTTGAGGGATTGTGTAGCATGTCTGTGACTGAGCTTGTGCTGTGGTATTTGCTATTTGAGGGATGTGTAGCATGTCTGTTACTGAGCTTGTGTTGTGGTATTTGCTATTTGAGGGATTGTGTAGCATGTCTGTAACTGAGTTTGTGTGAGGTATTTGTTATTTGAGGGATTATGTAGCATGTCTGTGACTGAGCTTGCGTTGTGGAATTTGTTGTTTGAGAGATCATGTAACATGTCCGACTGAGCTCGTGTTGTGTTATTTGTTGTTTGAGGGATTATGTAACATGTCTGACTGAGCTCGTGTGGTGGCATTTGTTGTTTGAGGGATTATGTAGCATGTCTGTGAATGAGCTTGTGTTGTGGTATTTGTTGTTTGAGAGATTATGTAACTGTGTAGCATGTCTGTGACTGAGCTCGTGTTGTGGTATTTGTTGTTTGAGGGTCTGTAACTGAGCTTGTGTTGTGGAATTTGTTATTTGAGGGATTTTGTAGCATGTCTGTAACTGAGCTTGTGTTGTGGAATTTGTTGTTTGTGAGGGATTGTGTAGCATGTCTGTTACTTAGCTTGTGTTGTGGTATTTGTTATTTGAGCGATTGTGTAGCATGTCTGTGACTGAGCTTATGCTGTGGTATTTGCTATTTGAGGGCTGTGTAGCATGTCTGTTCCTGAGCTTGTGTTGTGGTATTTGTTATTTGAGCGATTGTGTAGCATGTCTGTGACTGAGCTCGTGTTGTGGTATTTGTTGTTTGAGGGTCTGTAACTGAGCTTGTGTTGTGGAATTTGTTGTTTGTGAGGGATTGTGTAGCATGTCTGTTACTTAGCTTGTGTTGTGGTATTTGTTATTTGAGGGGTTATGTAGCATGTCTGTGACTGAGCTTGGGCTGTGGTATTTGCTATTTGAGGGATGTGTAGCATGTCTGTTACTGAGCTTGCGTTGTGGTATTTGCTATTTGAGGGATGTGTAGCATGTCTGTTACTGGGCTTGTGTTGTGGTATTTGCTATTTGAGGGTCTGTAACTGAGCTTGTGTTGTGGTATTTGTTATTTGAGGGATTTTGTAGCATGTCTGTGACTGAGCTTGGGCTGTGGTATTTGCTATTTGAGGGATTGTGTAACATGTCTGACTGAGCTCGTGTTGTGGTATTTGTTGTTTGAGGGATTGTGTAGTATGTCTGTAACTGAGCTTGTGTTGTGGTATTTGTTATTTGAGCGATTGTGTAGCATGTCTGTGACTGAGCTTGGGCTGTGGTATTTGCTATTTGAGGGATTGTGTAACATGTCTGACTGAGCTCGTGTTGTGGTATTTGTTGTTTGAGGGTCTGTAACTGAGCTTGTGTTGTGGTATTTGTTATTTGAGCGATTGTGTAGCATGTCTGTGACTGAGCTTATGCTGTGGTATTTGCTATTTGAGGGATTGTGTAACATGTCTGACTGAGCTCGTGTTGTGGTATTTGTTGTTTGAGGGATTATGTAGCATGTCTGTGAATGAGCTTGTGTTGTGGAATTTGTTGTTTGAGAGATTATGTAACATGTCTGCCTGAGCTCGTGTTGTGGTATTTGTTGTTGAGGGATTGTGTAGTATG